GGCCTGGTTTTCAACCCAAGGAGAAGGGAAAGTTTGTACAGCTAATACAGACTAACGAGCAGACCCAGAGTTTGGCTCCTTTCTGGAAGATCAAGATAGGGTAAATGTTATTCTGGCCATGAAAGAGCCAGAGACAAAAAGCCTTTATCCTGATGCTAAAAACCTTAGCCAGGAATATTAATCAACCTTCTGTAATTACATTTTCCATGTGCAGTATTTTGGTTTTCTGCCATTCTTTAAGTGCAAGCATCATATGGCTTGGTGGTATGCATAAATTTCAGATCTTACATACTGAGATGCAGCAAGGAGATAATGCTGGGTTAAAAAATAAAGTGTCTTTTGAAATAGTTTTCATTGGTGCTTGCTAGACACTGGTATGTGGAGAAGGCCAAGACATCTGGGAGACACTGAGGTGCCTTTCAGAGCTATGTGAAGTGAAGGTTTTGGCTTTTAATCTCTAAGGCAAAATTGTCTTGCACCTGTATCTGTTTCTTCTGAAAAGGTCTGCACCTGAGAAATTGGTGGGGTTTTAGACGTGTTGATGAATGCAGGGTGGTCTCCTGGCAGTTTGTGTCTTGGCAATTAAACCCCTTTTATTCAGCGCCCAAAGCATAAATTTAGATCTTTCTTTCAGGCTTGGAAATACTGATGCAGGGTTTTACAGCCTTTTCAGCAGGGTTTGGAGGGCTGTGCTGTGCTCGGACAGCTGTGGCAGTTTTGCAAGTTGCTGTTGGCTGTAAGGAGAGAGAAGCTGGTTTTTCAGGGTATGAGAGGCAACTGTAGCTGGTCATTTGAGTAGGGGCAGGATCCGTAACGTTCCCAGCTCTGCAGAGACGGGTCTTCCCACTTCATTTTGCTCTGGGTCAGGTCCCACCCCTGCTTTCAAAATCCTTTATATCCCATGAGGATCGAAAACCAGATGAGGGGGCAGATGTCAGTGCAGGTTTTTTTTGTTCAACAATCCCCGTCCAGTAAAAATAAATGAAAGTCTCTTTAGTTATTTGTTTTAGGCAGAGCAGAGTGCTGCTCTGGGTTCTGTGGTGGAAAGTGTGTGTTGAAGAGCTGTATTTTCCAGTGCCTGGAAGCTGCTGGCAGAGGTAGTGTGAGATGTGCTGGCTCCTCAGCATGCCAGTCTCTCCAGGTGCTTTTTCCATAGGTCTCCAGTGTGGCATTGGAATCAGCACAAACTTGGCCATCCTACCTGAGATACCCTGGTCCAATGCTCTAAGGCATCAAATGCTCTCAGTGCCTGGACATTGGCACCAAAACTGTAGGTGCTCATTGCTTTATGGAAGTGAGTTCCTGAACCAAACAAACAAAGTGGTTTTCACGTTGTTCCCACGTTGTGGGAAAGTGTGTGTCAGAGGCATGGAGAGTCTGTTTGCAAAGAGGTGCTTAGCCCTTGATGTAAAGATGGGCTTAGCAGGCAGGTGAGCAGGAGCATCACCTCTGAAGTGGCTTTGTAATTGCTGCTTGAAAGCAGCTAATTTTCTTTGTGCATGGAGCATTTCTAAGGAAATTAAACTCTGATGAATCCTTTGGGAGTTTCTTGGCCTCGATCATAGAAAAAAAAAAAAAGAAAAAAAAAAGCTTTGGATAGGCAAAGAAAACTCAACTGGATGGGCTTCTGTCTGGTGGTTAAGTAGACAGAAAACTGCCTCTCTTGCATTGTTAGAGCAATAATCACTTTTTGGGTTGAGTTCTTAGAGAAATTACATTTTGGCATGAAGATTTTGCCTCTTGTCCAGTGGGGTCGCTTCAATGGAGTGACTCCTGCTTCCCAGAGGAAAAAAAGTGCTCATTACTCACTGAGCTGGACTGTAACATGCTGCTACATGGTAGAGGAAGTGTGTTGCCAGCATTTCATCCTATGGCCTTACTTGTGTTGGGTCTTTAAAATGCCATTAAAGAAAAAAATATCTTCTGCAATAGGGAGGAAAAAAAGAAATCTACTCTGGAATAGTGTCCCTGAAGCAAAAGTTTTACTTATTGGAAAGATCAGGCTTTGGGCTATGACTCATATTTGCAGGCAAAAATTGCTCTTTCTGCCGTGATTCTGCAATTCCACATCCCCCTGCCTGCTCTGCCCCCCTGCCTGCTCTGCCCCCCTGCCTGCTCTGCCCCCTGCCTGTTCTGCCC